TATCCAGATAATGGAAGACGCTCAAATTACTGTTGTTTAAATGATCTGAAATAACAGTGGTTGTTTAAATTACACTGATTTCATGGCAGACTAAACAATTTGTAGTTTCTAAGGCATCAGAACTTAATACCCAATGCAGTGTACTGAAAATGCTTTGGTAAGTACTCTGACATCCTTTCTTGTACTTACAGAACTGAACAATATTGAATTTTACTGTGGGAAGGCAGAAGATGTTGTCCCTTCCCTGATGAACGTGCTGGCTCCTCAGAACCTGGTCACGATTGTGGATCCCCCCCGAGCAGGGCTGCGTGAGTTCCCAGCTGGGCTCTTCTCCTCAGGGCTGGTGGGTGGGGAACCAAGGAAACATCAACAGACAGAGGAGGTGGAGGCTTCAGGTACAGCCTGAGCCCAGAGGGCAGTGCAGCAGTTCCTTCCTGCTGGGGCAGAACCTGCAATTTCTCTGCCAGGCTGTTGCTGCTCACAGGGCCAGTAAACAGCTGTCTCGGTTTTGATCATCCAGATTCCAAGGTAATTCTTGCCATTAGAAGAGCTGAACATCTGAAGAAGCTCATCTACGTCTCCTGCAACCCCAGAGCTGCGATGAACAACTTTGTGGAGTGAGTGTTTCTTGCGTTGGGTTGACTTGGGAAATACCTGAAGATGACAAATGGTGGTTGCTGGGGAGGGGGGAGCTCTTGGCAGAGTAAAACACGGATACATTTCTTCCTTTCCCCTTCAGCCTGTGCCGGGCCCCGTCCAACAGGGTGAAAGGAGCCTCTTTCCGCCCCGTGCGAGCCATGGCCGTGGATCTGTTCCCCCAGACGCGGCACTGCGAGCTGCTGCTCTGCTTCGAGCGCGTGGAATACGCCAACGGCAGCTCGGCCACTCCACCCACAGCAGGAGGTGTCCCCTCGGACAGGGGCCAGGCAGCTGCTGCCCACGGAGATGTCCCCTCGGACAGGGGCCAGGCAGCTGCTGCAGCCCAGGACAGCGACGCATCCTGACTCAGAGACACCCTGCACAAACCACTTTGCCTTGCCAGCTGTGTCAGTAATGTCGTGTCTGTAACAGCCAGGAAATAAATCTGTACAGCAGAGTCAGTGCAAGGCTTCGAGTTCTTTCATCCTATCAACTGAATTTCATTATTGTAGAATCACAGAATGGTTGGTTTTGGAAGGGACCTTAAAGATCATCTCATACCAAGAAACTTGTCATTTCTGGTCAAGAGGCTCCTCCTCCTCTGAGCGTCAGTGAGGCTGTTCAGGGGGTGCCATCAGTCGAGTTCCTCCCAGGGCACAGCAATCTCCACAACTTCTGTAGCCCCACAGGGGCGTTTTGCTCCTGCAGCAGCTCTGGAAGGGTAAGCTTGGCCTCCCAGGAAGTGTTTCTGGAAGAGCTGTGCACGGCAGGGATCACTGAGCAATGACAAAACAAGGACTGTTACCTCATCTCCTCCAGTGGCTGAGTTATAACTGAAATGCTGCTGGGCACGGGTGCTCTGCACCAAACCTGTGCCCTGGACTCCAGAGCATCTCCTCAGGTGTCCTCCCAGCTGTTGGAGCCGCAGCCTCTCCTGTGCAGGAGACAAAGGCAGGTTGTGTTTGCCACAAACCCCCCCAGACACTCGGCCCCTGCAGCTGCACCTCAGTGCAGGTACTGGGGTGGAGACAGACCTGGCTGAGTCCCCCTGGCACAGGGTGCTCTGCAGGCACGAGCCCCTCTCCTGGCGCTGCCATCAACAGATGGTGATCAGAGCACACACAGCACTGACTGTGAGAACGAAAAACCATCTTCAGTCTCAACTTACCAAACATACTCCTGCTAAACACTTAATGTGGCCTGAAAACCAGCAAAATCTGCAGCCCCCAGCTGTGCTGACACCCCCCCTGCCCAGCAACAGCAGGTACCACAAGCAGCACTTTGGGCTGAGACATTCCCAACCTTGCCATCATTTTAGTAAAAATACAAATCCCAGTTCAAGAAGACATGGTAATTTATTCCAAGTGTTTAACCATTTCAACATTCAATTCCTTACCAAAAAGATAATCAAGTACTTCCCTAACCAGTGAGCTTGCATTTAATTTCCATTAAAACACCTACAGGACTCAAGGAATAAAAGAATTCCTTTTTTCTAGATATGCTTAAGCCACGGTAATACTGATCACACTGGTGCATTTTTATAATATCAAACTTTATTGCTCAAAACTAATTGTCTGAAAAATACACATGTAGTACTCAAAGACCAAACACAGAGGATTACATGATTGTGCAGAAAAAAAGCAAGCAGAGGCTCAGTGAAAATGAGGCTTTATAGTTGTACCAATTTAGCACTGGCATCAAGCAACTGCACCCCCCTCAACTCAAAGAGCAACCACTGTTACCTGCTCGGGCAGTAAGGATGGACTGGTTTGTTTTGTTTTGTTTTCCCACCTCCTCAGAATCACACTGCAATACTGTAACTGATCGTTTTATTTGGTTAATAACAGCATGGCTTCTTGCACTTCACATTCCTTCCCACGGAAAGTCAGGAGGGTTTCACTTCCTGAACTTCACTCCAGGACCAAAGTACAGTTTAGAGAATTAATAAGATAATCATGATGCTTTTAAATACTTGGATGTTACAAATATATTTGTATAAAGCCTAACAGCATCACAGGAGAATGGAAGTTCACATACAACAGTTAAGTTTATGCATAATAGTCTTTCCAAACTTCTGAGTACCCAACTAATTCATCAGTTTTGTCTAATAAATACGTAAAAAAAGCTGATAACTGGTGTTTCAGTAGGTAGCATCTGACTAGTCACTGCAAGTCACAGTAAGTTTTCTGTCAGTACCATGAAGATTCGAATGCACACTAATTGAATCCTTAAAGTCAATAAACCACACTTTTGTCAAGAAGCACAGAATATGCAAAGCAAAACCAACTAATCCCCAAAGGATGGAACAGTTCTTAAAAATACACTCCATCCCTACAAAAATACCCATCTTCCTCTGGATATAGAAGGGATAAATAACAAGTATCAGTGACAAAAGCAGCAGTTGTTTATGCATTCATACAATCAGATCTAAACCTTTACAGCCGATTACCTAGAAAACACACAAGAGTTACAAGACAAGTTTAGGATACATCTGGAATCACACTGTAAGTGTTCATGCAGAAGCTGAAGTTAATGCAATGATCTATCCTCTATCACAGCAGCTCGTGCTTATGTGCAAATGCAAGACCGTCACACTCCAAACAATAGTAAACATGAAACACAAGAACACCCACACTGACACACAGCAGTTCCGTTGTTTGTTCCAGCAGTTATTGCGGGTTCCTGGACATCTCTCCAGTTAAAGGCTGCAGCAAGGTCTGATACCATCGTGTTGCTTTGTTTTTGTTTAGAATGCATAATACACGTTCTAGGCTTTGGTTCACAATGAAATCTCTGGGTGTTTATTAAGGGCAACGGTCACCTTGTGAATCTGATAGTGGCAGAGTGAGGTAATACAGCAATCCTCTCAAAATTAATGAAAACAAATTGGTAAGCGAGGCATCCATGGATATTCTGCAGGTGACCTGCAAATGCATTGACATTCTGGTTTCAGAAAAATAAAAAGATCTACACGGGTGATTTGTCTTTTACAGTGCCATCCAAGTACAGATTTTTCTGCTGAAAACAGAAGCTGAAATAAAACCTATCTAGAAGAGTAATACATTTAGGCATAGAAGATATAAGCCCTGTCTTTAGGAAAATAAACAAAAAAAAAATCCAATAAAAACAAAGAGACAAACAGCAATCACTGCTTGTCACTACTGCACCAATATTATATACCCTTCAAAAGATGGAGATTTATTAAAGCTATACAAAAAAAAGCAGAGGCAGTGTTTTTTTGTTTCTTTTTTTTTAAGACAGGCCACTTCTTTAAATAATAAGTTTATGTATAGTCTTCAACTACCCGTATCCTGCTGTACCAGGATTACAACTCGTGGAACTAAAAAGCTAAATACAATAATAAAAACTGGGTGGATTTGTATTTGCAGAGACCTCCGAGGGTATCACTCAAACACAGAGACAGGTGGGACTCCAAGAGTCCTCCCGTTTAACCTCAAACATCATAAGCAACGCGTTAGAGAACATCAGCTCGAAATATAAATTAAAATCCAAAGTAATGCAGGATGTAAAAGGAGGTCTTACAATACTGATGCCAACATTGCTCAAATCCAGTAGGCACTAAATTCAATAAACTGCAGCGCTCCCTGTGGAACACGGGAAATCAAAAACCCCACCCCAAAACCCAAAGGAAAATCCAACCCAAAGAAGCCCTCGAGCCCCGGGGCCCTGTCGGGGAAGCAGCAGGAGCTGCAGCAGGTGCAGAGAAGGTCGTTCACTGCCAGGAGCAGGGGGTGAGGACAGAGCAGAGCAGCTCCTGCAGTCACTGAGAAGAGCCAACACACAACAGATCCCGAGCAGAACAGACCCCCCCCTGCAGAACAACCCCTGCCAGCGGTGCCATCAGTCACTGCAGCCACAGCTCCTCCTGGGCTGCCCCTCTGCCAGCACTGCCAGAGCTGACAGCAACCCCTGCACGTCTGTGACCTCCTCACTGTGAGCACAGCCAGCCCCTCGTGGGCTCACTCTACTCATTACTCTATGGCATAACCCAACTCTACATTCTAATGCGCAGAAGTTACACATTTTCTTTAAAAACTAAAAACGCAATTTAAAAAAAAAAAAGTAAAAACGAAAGCTTCTTAAAAAAAACCTAAATTGCTGCAGTTATTTCAGATTTTAGGGTTGTGTTGATTCTTTTTGAAATTCATTGCTTTTATGGTGCAAATCAATTAAGACTTAATTGATCGAGTCAGATGTAATCTGACACCAAACAAATGAGAAACTGTTTTATTGCTGGGAGAAGGGAGTGGAAAGTCTTTAAACACATCATTGGCAAAGTATATTCGGACTATCAACCATCATCAGCTGCGTTTTGGCTCCAAGCTTTGAAAACAGCCTTCCAAACTACAGTTTTTGTTTTAATCGTGTAACCAGGGCCATGTTTTCCCTGTTCAAGTGATCTGTAAACTATCACAGGCTCTTCTCATTTAAAATAAGCCCCAGTAATTCTGAATATCCAACCTGTTACTCTAAACACTACCAGGTGTACTTGTTCAAGTAGTAAAAAAGTCTACGCCCTGTGATCTCAAATAACTAAGCCTGGCAGGAGACAAGAAGCAAAACAAAAACAGCATTACTGGCCTAATCCTATGGCATTAGGAACATTGCTCATCACTTTCCTGTATTTGTCACCAAAGTGTCTTATCAGTGCATATTATTATGTGCTGAAATGCAACAAAACTTTTCACAAAAATAGTTTTAGGCATGTTCATACAAGAAGATGTACATATATTTCTTTTATATATACATATATATGAATGTGTATATATATAATATCAGCTTCAACCTGTACATAGATATTCTGAATTTCACACTTAAAATACATCCATTCCAACAACATGGATGGCTTCCCAGGAAAAAGTGCTTGATTGATTTTCTCCTGTGTGAACATGCCTGTCCTCTGTGCATCTGCCAAGTAAGAGACCTTTATGATCAATCCTTTAAAGGTACACATCTCAGAGGTATTAAAAAAGGAAAAAAAAAAACTAACCAAAGAAAAAGAAAACTAGGAAAAAGTAATATTGCCCTGATGATGCAAAAAGAACAATGCATAACTGAAGCAGCTTGGATTTCAAAAGTTATCTTGCATTCTGCAGCAAACAATTTTGAAATAATTGTTGAAAATCTAGTTCCTCCATTTGTGTTATTGCTCCCCACTTGCATTTTCTCCTCACACATCAACAGTGCAGAGAGGTTCACTCCCAGGCTGAGCAGATTCCACTATTGTCATCTTGGGTTTCTTCCGTGTTTCCTCCTGCAGAGACATTAAACAGCCCCCCCCCAGAGTCATAAAGAGAAGAGGATCACAAAACACCAGCAAATTTGGAACAGTTTTAGCCAAACTCCTGCCAATTGTTGTGCAAGGCTAACTTGGGCTGATGTTAAGAATAAATTTACTGAAGTAGGTACAATTAGGTTATAAGACAGTTTAAAGAAGAGGAACATCTCTCTAGAAGTAGCACCCCAGTCGGGTTTTGAGGAGCTCTCTCCACCTGAGCTACTGGGTAAAACCAGCAAAGCCACCTGACCACTGGTCCAGGTGAACTGTGGCACTTGTGCTGTTTGTGAATCCACAAGAACATTTACTCACTCTTTCCTGTGCCAGTTTTTTCATTTCCTCCTGTAACTTGTTCAGGATGTGCAGATTTGGCTTGTTCTTTTTGGCATACTGCTGAAGTTCTATCACACTTCTATCAGAGGTTTCCTATTCAACACAACCATAAGCAACAACCGATCAAAATCATGAACATGAAGCAACAGCTGCACTTCCTCAAGTAATAACATGTATTTCCACAAGTTGGTTCAATGTTAAAATATTTAATAGGTGATATAATTTTGACCTGGAAGATGCCAGGTTAGCACAGTGATTCCTGTCAGTGAAATCACTGCTCTTGTGCTCTGGCAATAACAAGGTACAGGTTCCCTTCAGAACTGAGAACTGCCCTCAGCAGGAGGGACCAGCACGCCCCAACACACCCCCTAAAGCTCTGCTGGGGCTAAATTAACCCCCCAGGAAGATCCAAAACTCCAGTGCCACAAGAGCAGTCACCTGTTTAACCAGCTTGCTGTTCTCCCTCCCGTACATCCGCAAGAGAGAGCCCCAGTTCTTCACATGTGGGTGCAGGAGCTGCAGGATTTTCTGGGAAGCCAATTGCTTCCCCACTCTCTTATTTTTGCCTGTAAAAGCAGTCACAGCAGAGTGTCAGCCCTGTGCCACGAACACAAACCTTGCCCTGTGTCAGTCAGCAGGAGGAGCAGGGCAGAGGAGCAGCCCCCAGGGGTCCCTCCCCGCTCTACTTACACCAGCCTCGCACCGTGTGCTTCCCGCACGTCATCACGTATTCACTCTTCTGATTTTTCCCAGGAATCACTTCAAACTTGATGGATGTGTCACCCATTCCGTGGTTTCTTTAAGCACAAAGTCAGGATCACACACTAAGTAAAACTACAAACAACTCCAGTGGTTGCAGTTATCTTCTGGAGTCATTGCAATGAAATTAGTCAGTAATAAATTCCAGAACGTTCATTAATGAAAAGGGTTTTTTTTAGGTCAGTAACTCGAAAAGGCAAGCCTGGATAAAGAAAAACCAAATATACGTCCCACAACTAAATTCTGATCTCAGAAGAGGCATTACCAGCAAACCTGAATTAAAAATGACTCAGCACTGCCCAGCTCAGTCCCCACCAAGCCTGCAGAGCCGGGGGAGCAGAGCGAGCTCAGCCAGCCCAGCAATGCCAGGTACTGACCAACAAACACTGCAGGAACAGCAGCTGTGCCCCACAAACCACCCCAGGCTGCAGCCTTACCTTTTAAGGCACTCATGGAGAATCTGATATGGAGACAAGAGTCCAGCTTTACTGGTGAGTTCATATACCCGTGAGTCCTCAATACTGATATGGTTAAAATACTGCAAAGGAAGTGAGAAGGGTCATTGTGCTTCGTGCAAACACCACCCCAAAACTGTCCCTAACCCTCAGTTCTCTTTTGCTACACTCAACAAGATCTGTTGCTCTCTGCTTAATACTTAAAAAGAGCTTTTAAATCCGTAATGGGAGGTATTTATCAACATGATTAAAACTGCCACACCTGATCACACAGCTACTGGCACATCTTGTATCTTAAAACAGTGGAAAAAATAGTTTATGTTTTCCTCATGACCATTTCAGTAGTGTAGGGGATACACCACAGTTTGAAGTCAAAGCAAGGGTACAAACAGCTCATTTTGGATACTGCACTTTTTTAAATTAAAACACTGCTTTCAGGCTGATCACTGATTTGTCCTTTACTCCTGACTGGTGCTCTGTGAGAAGTACCACTGATCAATGAACTATTTCATCCTTCCAGCACCTGAAAATATAGCACATATTCTCCTCTTAAAGAAACTTTCCCTTTGATTTTCTCAAGTGTCACTGCCTGAAGTCTGAGATCGACAGGTAAGTAAAGATGTCTCAGAAGCCTGAGCACTTCCAGTTCTTCGTTGGTGTCCTAAGATGATCCCACAAACCCAGACAGCACTTAGCTCTGAACCTTTCAGAGCATCAGCCAGAGGATTCTGGAAACAAGGATAGTACAGGCAATCTGGTATCTGGGAACCTTTCAGGTCTTCAGTAAGTGACCTGATATAACCAATAAGGAATTAGTTCTCTGCATCACAATAAATTTTCTGATCAATTCCAACTAAAAGTGGTATTTTCATTGCCACAGGTCTTGCTCTAAAACAAGAATTTCACGTTTCCCTTTGACTGAGAGAACAACCTTATGAATTTCCCACTGTATTTGACACTGAAGGTGCAATGTTTCTAAAAACAGCCTGCAACAGTGACAGCCAGGAAGCAACAGCTCAGTACCTCAAGTTCTTGACTGTCTTTGGGCTTCTCCTCAGAGGTCTGTTTAACAAAGTCAGGAATTAGGATTTCCAGTGTAGCTCGAGCTGCAGGAAGTGATTAAACACCTTGATTAAGATGAGCAGAGACATCAAAGCTCCAACAAGTTCTTCCTAGATGGATCACTAGAGACAGGCTCTCACACTGCTCCCCAGTGTCCCCAGGAATGTGCAGGCAGGGGAACAGAGCCAGTCCCTTCCTGGCTTTCTGCCCCAGCCCATTGCTGACCCGTGGCCAGGCAAAGGCTCTCTCAGTATTTATCAATTTTGCCAAAAGGCCACATCTTAAAGGTACACATCTTAATGACTGTTAACAAAATTATTCCTACCTACTACAGCAAATGTGTCATTTCCAAAGCAGAAATGAAAACAGATAAACAAAGCAGGAGTTGGTATTAGGAAAGAAAAAACCGTTACCAGCTTTATTCTTGGCAAGTTTTTTGCTGCTGGCAGTTCCTGCCCCGTAAGTGACTCCATCAATAATAACTGAGGCTCCAAAAGGTTCACTTGGGTTCTCTGGAAATGGAGGAGGAAAGTAAAAGAAAGCTTTTCAGAACTCTCAGTGTAAAATACACTCACCATGAACATGAAATACCACCATACCAAGGCTTTCTTTTCTTCATTTCAGCTTCAAGAGGGATGGAAATTGTTTATTCTTCATGAAGACTGAAAAATTCCGTACTTGAGTATAAGAAAGACTACCAAGAGTTTTCCATTGACAGAGACTTACCACCATACACTCAAATTCTCCCAAATAAAGAACATTTTAAGAGACCACTGGTAATCTGCCAGAATTCAAGTATTAACACCCAAGTTTTGTATCCCAGTGTGAATACCAGAGCTACACATTCTGATATTGAAAATTCAGGTAAATTATGTAATACATACAGAGGAATAACATAGTTCTGAAGAATTATAACAAGTCCTCAAAAAAAAAAAACAAAAAAACAAAAAAACCCACCAAAACAAAACAGCAAAAGAATTAAGGGAACATTCATTGTACCACTTCAGGAAGCAAACCCCAACATTAATTTGATTCCGGTTCTATTTTAAGAAAACAGACTTACCACATTCAAAGAAATTGTAAACAGGGCGAACCTTCAGGACTCGTTGCATATACTCGTGCAGGATGCAAACTTCAGACTTCCCGTTGGGATTGATGACAAACTCTGCACAAGAGACAAGGACAGGGGAGAAGCTAAGTACTTCCAGTCTATAAAGGATAATTTCTACTCCAAATAAATCAGGAAATCAATCACAAACTCCAAGGGGTAAGTGCTTGCTCAGATGAAGTGCACTGTTGTTGAATCTGGCACAGGTAATTGAGACCTCCCAGATCATCTTCACTGAAGAAGTGTTGAGGTGCAAGTGAGAAGTTTCTACCAACAACTAGAAGTGCACTAATTATGAGCTAAGTCAAACATTCTGTGCTCAGTGTTTGCAGCCCCATGGCATTTTTGGCAGCAAACATCAATTACAGATCCTCTAATTTGCTCCTAAACACATCAGAAGGGAGGTACAACAACAGGCACATAGACTTCAAATCCCCAAACCAGAATCATTCCCCCACTCCCAGCCCTCCCCCACAAAAATCCTGTTTAGCAGCCACAGATCAGGGCACTGCTTCCTTGCCATGACTCTGCTCTTTTTATTTCAAAGATTACTTTTTGGCTGGATGGGATTTTTTTCCCTGTAACAGTATCATCAGTCCAGAGCACAAACCCTGGCTCAGCAGGCAACAGGGGGGAGAAAGTTAAGATTACATAGATAAAGTGCAAGTAAGTCTTTAATTTAGAGTTTCAATGTGGCTCTAAACCTGCACTTGAAGATAAAAATATTAAATGAAAATTCAGCTGCACCTCCCTGTAACAGGGAATGGTCAGTATGAACTCATGAGCTTTAGTTCTGCTAAGGAGAAGAAACTCAGAAACATGACAAGGCACAAAATAAAACCAGAATCCAAGTCACAGGTCTAATGGCCATTTTAAACATCAGACTGCAGCCAGATGTGCTATTACGGATACACAAGGGAACACTCCAGCTTGTTCTCAGACACGATACCCACTCCTCACACCCAGGACAACTGCACACACATCTGTATTTTTAACAGGAGGTTTTAATCTGGATCAATATGGCATTTGTAACCAGTCCCTAATTTGGGACCAACTAGAACTGGTACAGAACTGAGAAGGCAGCAGCACTGTGTGACAAGGCAGGAGGGTTTTCAGCCACAGCCAACGGTAACTAGAGCTGAAGGCAGTCACTCCTTACCAGGACTGTGACCTTCAATAAAAATCTGTTTGTTTAGAAATTATTCTTTTAAATAGGAAGCCTATTTTGACAATATTTTCCCTTTACTATGTAATAGGATGGATCAAAGAACACAGAATTCCAGATCAAGGAAAAAGGGACTTCTTAGAGGTTTTTTTAATTTTCAGCCAAGCTCAGAACTGCTGTTAGTCCTGAAGCGCAGGCAGGGAAGCCAACCTTTCTTGATGGGTGCATCCTGCACGGACAGGGTGATGAGTTTCTGGTTGGCAGGCAGGATGGGCCGCTCGGACTCGGCCTGCTTGCGCTTCATCTCGCGGTTGAACTGGCGCCGCTCGGCCCACGTGCGGAACTTCTTCACCGTCACCTGCTCGAAGTCAAAGCGCTTCTCCAGGTAACGCCGGAAATCCTCCAGGTCTGAGGGACACACACAGGTTACTGTCTCTGCTTCACCACGGGGCAAGCAGTCAGCTCTCTGTTTCCACAGTCTGAACACGCCATAATTACACTCCTCCAGCAGGAGCCAAAGGTTATGATGCTATTTTACGGTAACAGAACAAATTACACGTTTTCCTCTTACTGGGTCAAATGCAAAACGTTTGTGCAAACTGGAAAACAACAGAAAGGACTGTGTTCTGTCACCTGAGGATTCTACTGAGCCCTAACTAGCACAGTACCCACCACAGTTTGTAACAAACACTGGTAATTGTTCTACTCCAACACTTCCCTGTACCTGAAGCAAGGCACACGGTGAGTACAGCAGTTCTGCTTTTACCTCAGCTGCCTGAGCCCTCCTAGTACTGCCTGTTCATCAAACTGTGTAATGATGCTGCCTGAACTCCAGCAGTGCCTGCAGCCTCTGAGCAGAACCTGACACACGAATTTCACACACAGAGCACTAGGGACTGCCCCCTGCTTCTCCTTTATAGGATACTTCTGCAGATACAGTCAGCAAAAGCATCCACAGCTGTAAACAAACAAAAGCAAGCTGCTGGCATTGTTTCCTTCCACAAGGAACTCCATATGCAAGTCATGCTTGTACTTGATCAGTCAGTATTTTTTCAGTAATACAGAACAGATCCTATTTGAAGAAAGAGAGATGAACTTCACATAGAAAAGTGCTCACTAGTTTTAGTTTTGTTGCTAAATACTAGTGATTTTTTTTTTTTAAACCTTCTGGTATGTTTTTCTGAGCTAACAGGAGACATGTAGCATCAAGGACAGGTTTTATGTTTGAACACCAAAGGCACACAGCAGCCTATGATCCATATCAATACTCTGAGGAACATTAATTTACATGGATGGGACTCTCAGGTATGCAGATGTGGCAAGTGGCACAAGAGCTTCCTCTCCAAGTTCCTCTAAGTTAGGCAGTGACTTTGGCATGACTTCTTCAGACAACTTTTTGTGAAAAGGCTACTAGGATTGTATTAATAAAATAGTGAAGCATCACCTCCCTTCACGAGTCCAATTATATTTGCATGACTTATTCTGCTAGAGTTGTAAAAATAAGGAAATACATCTTTAAGAGCTGAAAACAGGTACAATTCAGCCAACATAGAGGCTGCAGAGAAAAGCCCACTTAAACAAGTCACAGAAACACACTTGACAACAGCCATTCAAATGTATACATTGACTTAACTGAGGGTTAAACTGAGATAAAGTCTACAGGACTAAACTTCTCAAACCTTCACATTTTTGGGGTAAAACCTTTCCAAATGGACTCTCAAGGCTTCAGCCAAATTCTTCCCTGTATTTCTCTTCCGTTAAAATCAACATTGATTTCTGGTTCTGGATCTGTTTCTCCGGATCTCAGACCACGCAGGCAGATAACTGACCACCTGATCTCAGGCAAGACACCCCTCAGCTGCCAGGTCTGGCATAAAGACTCCCAAATGTCATTACCCCAACTCCAGGCAAGGAAAGACCCCACGTGCCATACATACCTACAGATTCATCTTTACATACTTCAACTTTGGCCTTAACTTGTCCCAAGGCTCCTTGTGCTGCATCTGCCCCTGAGGGGTCTTTGTCATCCAAAGGCCCAGAGTCAGCAGCAGTGGAATCTGGCTCTTCTGTCTGGCAGTCCAGTTCGGAGGATTTATCGAGGTGCTTTACGGGTGATACCTCCCCATTTGGGGTTATGTCATTGTTTTGTTCCCTCTCCTCGTTTTCCTTCATTTTTTTGTAATGAAAGCAAGGAATGCTACTAAGGGGAGGATCATGTTTCTGCAAATATAAAACAACACAGAAGGTATCAGTATCTCAAGGTCGCCAAAAGCAAAACTCACACCCAAGAGATGCAACCAAGACAGAAGTTACTTTTGCTCAGTCCAGGCTCTCTTTGGTCAGCCATCTCATTGTGCTCAAGAGCTGAACAGGGCCACTCCTGTGGGATCCTGACAGTGCAACCCCGATCCAAACCTTCCCAGAGTGTTGCTGGTTCAGGGCCAGACTTCCTGCTCACTTATGTGCAAACACTACCTGCTGTCATAAAAACCACTCAGCTTTCCCGGGGCAGAAGCCCAGGGCATTAAATCCAGCTTCTGTAATTCCTTGGGTTCAGGACTGTCACATCCTTACTTCTGTAAGTGTGGACCATGAGCCACAGCTCAGACTAGTTTATAGCTACAAATAAATGATCCATATATATTGCACGGTGGAACAAACCCACGATTTTTCAGCCATATGCTGGAAAAACAAAGGCACCGAACAAGATCATGTCATTCTCTTCAACTGCCCAAACAGAAAAACTAAGCACCTAAGAAAAATCCTATCAAATTTTCAGAAATAGAAGCGTTTACTTTTCAGGGACCTTGTTTTAACACTGCAAAAAAAGCCCACTGAAGGAGAAAAATACTGAAGCGCTTGCAGGAACACATCTCATTTTTCACTCTTAGTAAGCACGTAAGGAATTGACAGCTCTCACCCTTATGCTTCCTGTTCCCAAGAAATAAGGTCTAGACCAGGTAACAACTCTGGATTCTCTGTGCAGATATACAGGAATGCCCGAGTTATGGAATGTCATGATCCATCCATCCGGCAAAGGCTCTGTGGGAGGGCGGCCACGACCTTGAAAGCAAAGAATGGCTTTAAACTTGCACAGACTGCTTAAAAGAAGAATCCAGGCTTTTATTTACTGCCTTTCCTGTCTCAAAGAATAAAACTGCACTGCAACAAGATGAAAGATGTTTTGTAGAGAGAAGTTGTTTTAATAACAAGGTATATGCTTCTAACCCACTCTAAATCCTGAAAAATTACAGATTCCATTATGTTCTCAGCTGAAAGACAACAGAAGCACTAATTTTTATACAGACTGCTTTGTTTGTTTCTTCAGTGGACTTTCCATTAGTCTTTTTTATGTATTTAAGCACCACTATATTTACTGGAAAAAAGTCACACTTGCTTTAGAAACAACTGAATTTTCCATTAAAATTTTTTTCACTTGACATTTGGGAATAAATTTGCATTGAGACACCACCAGAGCTACAGATCCAAACAGCCAGCAAAGAGTTCCTTTACAAGCCGAGGTCTCGCTCCTCTGTACACCAGAAATCAGAGACCATTCACCTTTGCTGGAAGCCTCCTGGCAATCCTAGGTTAGTACAGAGTTTTGGAGGGAAAACCTGTTTGGTTTCCTACTTCAAAACATACTGAAGCTGTAAAGTATTCCTCTAGAGTGTGTTCAAATTCTAATGCTAATTCAGAATATTTTGAGGTAAATTCTCCTGGATTGGTTCACATTCTCAGCTCTTCTTTATCAGCAGTTTCTAACATTTACACAACAAAATCAGATAAATGTCCACTGCCTTTTCCAGTCATTCCTCATAACCCAGTATTGCATGGAGACTTCACATGGAGCAATTTCAACAGCAGGAGTTGTGTAACTAAAGCAGGAAAAGGTCCACAATGACCACAGAGTCTTCAGCTGATTCATGGTATTGGAGACAAGAGCTCCAGATCATCCTCGTTCACCTCCCTGCCACTGAGGTAACATCCGTCATTATTTTTCACAAATCCACACACTAAAATGGATTCTTACTAAATAAAACAGATCAAGAGCAAAAAGCAACTTCACTGTTTAGGGACACGAGAAATCCCACAGTAAGACGCCTCCAAACAGTAAAATTCTCCAACACATGAACAATTCCATAAGAACTGCTACCCCACATGCTGATACACTTCTGTTCCACAGACACAAGCCAGTACAAGAACTGGAGTTATTTAATGAACATGAACTTACTCTTCAGGACAGTTTTAATTTTGGTCATCATTGGCTGCACACTTGTTTCTCCATCAGACTGGTGATCACTTTCCCCACCGTATTTCTCATTATCTAGTCTCCTTGTCTTGGGTGCTCGAAGACCCTCCTCCAGCAGAGCATCCACATCATTATCAAAGTCATCCTGAAAGAGACTTCATCAGACACTATCCCTCTGGGTCTACCAACCTCCCTTTTCCCTTGCAAAGAGAAAGCACACATTTGTGATATACACTTCCACAGAGAAACTAGACACTTCCAGTGATTCCAGTAAAAAGACTGAAAAATAAGAAAATAAGTTTTGTGAGAACTGTATTTTTCATGATAAAATGAGCTGCAATTGTGTGAAAAGACTTTTAAATGCTATTTTTAAACACAGTACAGAAGCTGCCACACAACTCAGGAGTTGAACCAAAGTACTTTAAAGAAGTTTTCAGCCGAAGCCCTGACTCTGAAAATTGTGCCTTTTTGACTCACATACTGCACACTTCTAGAAGAGACTGTTTCTTTGTGTATTTTTCTCTAGCCACTTGGAAATCTCTTACCCACCAAAAACCTGTGGATTTGCTTACCTCATATGAGAAATTCAAGGTTTCTTCATCCACTTTATCTCTTTGAACGATTGCTTTAGATGTGAACCCTCCTCCTTCTTCATCTATTTCCATCAAATTGTCGGTAAAGTCTTCTAGCTCATCCAGAACTGCATATTCCACTCTCTTTTCCTGATCAATATCATTTTCATCATCCTTCTTGTCCTCACCGTCACCCCCTATTCCTACAGCTTTACCATTGCTACCACCGAAAGGACAAACATGCAAATCCCCATTGACATTATTAACACCAAACTCCGCATCTGCCTTATAATCCTGCTCAACTCCAGTGTACAGAACTTTCCTGTCCTTGCTCTTGCAGCTCTCAGTAAAGCTAACACTAATCTTCACATCCTTCAGCAGCTTGAGGTCCGGGCTGAACTTGCGGCCGGCGGGTGCGTGGCGGGCCGTCCTCGGGCTCTGCTCGCCGCTGGCAGGGTCTATGATGAGACGGCTTTTGTAGCAGGCAGATCCCTTAGTGAGCAGCTGAGTTCTGCAGAGACTGTGCGTGTCCCCAGCGGGGCTATCTGACTGTCCATCACCACCAGAGCCAACGTCCATTACCTCTGCGTCACTGGACGTTTGCAGGGGAGGTGGTGGAGGCTGTTCGCTGGGCGGCAGAGGTGGGGGACAACTGGGACTCTCCACATTCGTCTCCCTCGCAGGTTCTTTGGGGAGGGGTGGCACACTTTCATAGGTCTCCATGTTTTTAAAACTACTGGCTTTTAAAAAGAACAAACCAAGGCTTTAGTAAATGTTTATGCCTATCCTCCTAACATGCACAAGTCCATCAGGGTGGGGTTATCGTGTTCTAGTCAATATGCAACACTGATGATTCAGTTAAGCTGACTACATTGTTCTTTTCATTAATGTAGACAGCTTTCAGAATCACTGTCTCAATTATTGGAAATCACAATGCATTCAGCTTAAATAGCTGAAGACTAAGACTGCATCTTCATTGGACAAGCACGTCTCCTTTTCTTCTTTCAACCTACAAGAAGAAGAAGAAGAAAAAAAAATTTGTCACAGGGAAAAATGGCAAGAGCATCCCAGGCAGAAAGAAAACACCCCACTCCTGCTCTAATTTCAAGCAGAAGAGCGACATTTTTCCAGTGAAAAACGCAGGGTACCCAGAGCTCACTCTGAAAGAGGCTGGAATTCCACTGGGTTTGCTGCTTGAGCTGTTCACCAGCACAGGAATTTGCTAACACAGCTGCCCTGTACTACGATTAGTTGACTATCTCTGCTTGATTAGCAGGCAGGGCATTAAGCATGACAGACTAAAACCTGTGCATTTTGGGGAGGTTCTCCCATCATTTAAAACAACCTGGCACTCAAGCCATACTTACCCACGCAGCAGAAAGGATAATTAGCTTACAGTTTAAGACAATCTGCAAAACCAAGAGGATTTTAACAACTCTGGTCTGTAAGACGTGGCTTTTCAAAGTTTAAGTTATTAGGTATTTTTGAAACCTCACCGGAAGTTTTAACAGGAAGTCTCATGCTTTACTAAAACCTCACAGAAAATCACTCTCTGGATGGTTGGATATTACACACTTGATCTTGTATTTTGTACTATTAGGGACCTACTTATTTGTTATGTCCAAAAAATTCAGGTCCAGAAACATACCACTGAAGCTCAAAATAATTTTGGAAGGTATTTAGAAGTCAGTGTTTTAGGTAATTTAAACTGGAAAAAATATTCAACTGCTCTAGAAAAATTTTACAGGGGATGGGGAGTGTGTGTTTAGGGCTTGTTTATTTTTTACATTAAGTGGGTTCTTTCTACCATGTCTGTGATGCCTTCTTCACCGATACTTTTGTCACCTGTGCAGCACCACAAGCACCTGGGGAAAGGAAGCACAATTTCTTACCTGCTTATTTTGGTTTCTCCCAGTCCCTCCATGCCAGCCCAAACTAGGCTTAAATCTTCCAACCAGCCAGAAACGAAGCAGTGTCACTGCCCAGGGCAGCTGGCTCAGCCTGCCCAGTCCAAAGCATCCCCAGGGAGCAGAGACAGCCAAGCCAAGCACTGTGGCAGGACAAGCTGCAGGTGCTTGGTGTTGAGTGGAACACTGCAGGCAACAGGGCAGAGTCTGGGCTGGCATGAGGGACTGACACAGAAACCAAATATCATTGTCTCAGGTATCTCTAGGCCAGCCCAGGAGGAACAAACCAACAGCAATATCCAAACACCAAGGCAGGAAGCTGGGAATAAGAAGTTATAACGGGATCAATTAAAACTCAACAACATACACAGGCCACCTACCTGGAAAGAGGAAGAAAGCAAAATATCCAACAGAGCCAACTCTTACATTAGTGATCTGGCAATAAAGCAAGTTCTGCTGGGGCAGCAGAGCAGTTCATGTTTTGTGCTCGTTTTTTAAACGCACTCAAGATCATCACACATTCAACATGCTGAGCTGGACATGCATTGTAGAGTCACCAAGGAAAAAGGCTCCAATTTGGTAAGAGCTCTAAACAATCCCATCTTCTCTGATACAAACGTGCTGCTTTTCAGATTGGAAAATGGCTCATTCACCAGTAAGACAGACAGTTCTATACATTCATCCTACAAGATGAACACACAATGACCCCAGCAGCAAACAATCCCTTCTTATTTCAGCAAGTTCTACAGAACACCTCTAAAAATATAATTGTCTAATAACCTCCCTCATCTTCAGACTAAAAGAAAAAAAAAGTGAATGACAAATGATTCAAGTTCCTCACAGTAAATCATTAGTGTCTTAATTGTTAATTCTGAACAAAAGAATCAGGAGAGTCACAGCATGCATTCACTAACTCCTGGAAATTAAATGCCTAAGTCATCTAATTTTTCTACCCTAAGAGTCTTCTAAAGACTCCTGAACAAACAATTCCCACAGAAATGCAAGACTGAAATCAGCATTCTAGAATTTGAAAGAGTAATCCCTTCCCCCGTGTTCAACAGCTCCTGGTCCAACCAGAGAGAGTAATGTTGACAAGGCAGCAGCCCTGCTGGTGGATGCCCCTTCCACACCCTGATCCACGTCCTGCTCCTGCACCAAAGGGTGTTTTAACCCCACCAATGTCCATCTCGGTGGCGTTCATCTTCACCTGCCCAGATTTGGTAGTTCACTGATACAACAACTCTGCTTTTTGCAGGAAAGATGTCTTGTTGTTCTATTTCAAGCACTGTTAACAATCAAATTGCTGTTCTCTTCCCTTTCTTGTTGGCCTGGACATGATGAACAGCTGAATGATGAATGCCAAATCACTGCCAGGGATTGTCAACTACGTGGTACAGATACTGTGGCCAGGAAAAGCACTAAAGCAAGGGGAGTTTAAATGAGCTTTTCCACTTCTAGCCACAAACCTGCCACATCCCCAGGATACGATAACAGCCTGGTAGCTCTACAGTTACAGTGGGCTACAATACCTTCCTACAAGCTACAAAAAGCCAGGGAGGAGCAGAGTAACACAAGTCCAATTCCCACCGACCTTCCTGCCAACCGGCACTACAATATGCCCTTTATATCAGGGGCTGGGAAAAAAAACCCACAACAAAACCAGTAAGGATTTTCCCTGAGCTATCAGGTGTTTCAAAGACAGGCAGAAGGGATGGAACCTAAAAGGATGAGTGGGATAAGCTGGTAGGTTACCAACAGCCAAACGGACCTCAGATCACAAGAACACAACTGGCTCAGTATAATGAATTAGGTTGTAACCTAAGGCAGTTTGCATATCGCCATCCTTCATTATTTGTCCTCAAGTGACGTTTTATTGTCCAGGGCTCCACCAAGTTCCATCCCCAGTTTCCATAAGGACTCCTTCCAAAGATATGGAACACCCCTGAGAGCTGCACCAGGCACTCCAAAACACTGCAGGCACTCTGGATGAAAATGAACACACAGCTCATGGTCTGCAGATCCCCAACATGTGCAAATCTCACACTTTTAACTGACATTGGCAGATCATTTTCAAACATCTCATGGCACAAAGTTAATTCAGCAATACAGATAAAGGGGACTCCTAAAAGTAACACAGTGAACCACACAGGTCCCAGCAAAGGCAAGCCTTGGCCTGGTTTGTCTGACAGATGTCCTTTGAAGGCAGAAAAGAAAGAAAACAAACTACTTCTTTGTTTAATAGGTCCCACAACCAGACAGGAGAGGGTTGGGAGAGAAGTACACAGAGAAAAGGGTATTTTTTTTCAAGGCAGGAAAAAAGCAGGATCTTAAAATTGGTAACCAGCACCATCCAAACTCCAAGAACCCCTTCCCTGGACAGCAGCTCAGCATCTAGAAGGGAGCTCCATGAAGAACATTTTTGTCACAGACACCTGCAGCCACAATAAGGAACAGCATATCATAGATTCTCTCCTCAAAGCCACTTTTTAAAAAGAAACTGGATTCTGTGTCAGAAACTGCTTCCTTCACACTCCTTCCCTAAAGGAAGAGTGGCTCAGAGCAAACTCCTCATTTGCTAACCACATACAAAGCCATCCTCTGGTCCCAAATGAAGCTGAATTTATAAGGCCCTGATCACACTGATTAACCCCTGACAAAGTAATTTCTCGCTCTCAGTCACCCACCTTCCTTTTATTATACCTCTTGTATCTTGACACATACAGTTCCAAAAGTAAGTTAATCCTACTTATTACCCCTTCTAAAAAACCCAAACCAAACCCCAAAGAGACCGAATTTACCTTCTTTAAAGCAGAACAGGAAATGCCAAAAGAAGAAATACTCTGTATGTTAATTACCACATACTTGTTCTCTTGTTTCTCTCCATTATCAGCTTTAGAGTAAAGAGATTCTGAAGGAAACAACCACTTTGTGTAAGTCAGTCATGGAGGAAGTTTAAGAAAATGCAGCCAGGGCCCAACAATAGCATTATAACTGGCAAATACGGACAAGGCTCAAGAACTTCTCTAGTTCCTAACACTTCATCCCATTTCAGAAGGAACAGAACACACGATTTTGGGAAAGACACCCTCAGAAATGAGAAAACAACAGCTGCTTTTATAGCTTGACCAGGTTTTCTGGCAAGGTTTAGATATTTTGTTAATTGTGAAAAATAGGAAACTAATTTAAAAAAAAAAAAGGTGAAAATCGGAGTCTAGGAAGGAGGAAAAATATTCTTCCTTCCACATCACACATAAGTCTCTTACTTGTAAAGAAAAGCAACAGACACAAGGAACTAAATTCCTTTCTCTTTCTCTAAAAATGCAAAAATAACCCTGATAACCAAAAGAACTAGCAACCTAACAGAATTAAAAACAGGAACCCTTAAGTTTAATTACCTAAATAGAAGAGACAACTTCTCAACCCGTAAAAGAAAAATGAAAGATCTAATTCCAAGACCTGTAACTCAGAGCCTAAAGGAGTCAAGAAATGGAATGGGTTCACGCCTGGATGTTGGGTGGGCAAACAAACTTGGCAGAGAAACCCGAAGCCTAGGGAGAAAAAGTACAAAAGAACGAACAGTTTCCAGCCAGAAAAAAAAAATAAAAAAAAAAAAAGTAGGGAGAATTAACCTTCCAGAGACTGAACGAGATAATTCACTGTTAACAGAAGGAGCACTCGAGTAGGGACCCTGAGAGCTACAGATACAGCTCATCTTCAGCGCACCACAACAGCTCAGCCCCATCCCCCGGGCAGGCCGGGGACACCGCCCGTCCCTCCGCTCAGCCCCGTCCCCCGGGCAGGCCCGCATGGACCAGGCATTCCCCTCCTTCCCCTCCTCTGCACCATCCCCAGCGCAGCCCCCTGGCCGGGCAGTGGGAAACAAACACACAGACACACAAACAAACCAACCCGCTCTAAGAAAACCCTGAGGGCAGGACGCCCTGGCCGGAGGTGGGGGAGGGGGATGGAAGCGCGGTACAGCAACACCCGCCGGGCAGGGCCTTCCCGCAGCGCTGGGAATGGGTCGGGAAAGGCTCCCGTGGGCTCCACGCCCGGACCGGGCCGGGCGGGGCGGGCGGCGGGAGCGCGGCGGGCCCGCGGGCGCCGCGGCCTGTGGAGCGGAGGGGCCGGTGCCCGCGCGGGCCCGTCCCGCCCGTCGCCCCGCGGGGCCCGCACCCACCTGAGCCATCCCCGGCGGTGCCGCCGCTCCTGTGCCGGGGCCGCGAGCGAGGCCGAGCGCGGCCGCCTCAGGACCGCCGTGCCCCGCTCGGCGCCGCCGCCGCCATCTTTAAACGCCTGCTCCGGGCCCCTGCGCTCCCGGCGGGCGGGGCCCCGCGCGCGCCCAGCCAATCGCGCCCGCCGCCTCCGCCAGCCCCGCTGCGAACCATCGGCAGCCATTGGTCCGCTCCCCTGTCTATCAAACCGCTCCGCCAATGGGGGCGCGGGAGGCGCCCGCCCCCAGGCCGGGCCATGGCGGGGCGGGCGGGCCCTTTGTGTGGGCCGGGGCCGCGGAGGGGCCCGCGGGGCCGTTCGTTCCCCTCACGAGAGGAGACCCCTTCCCTTCCCCACAAACACCGCTTTGTGTCTGTCAGCAGCACAACCGCAGCGCTGCTGCTGCAAGGAGAGCTTACCTAGAGAGGGGAAATCAAAGCAGGGCCGTTCTCCTTGCCATAGGCACCAAGCAGTTCTCAGAACGAGCCCCCGATGTGTTTGCAGTGTTTAGACAGAATTCCTAAATGATTACAGAAAATCTTACGGAATTTATGTAAAATCACTTCTAAAGTGCTAATGAACAGCTGCTGTTCTAATTTGCTCTGTTGCTTTATAATTTGCTTCCCCCGAAAAAGAGCTATAGAGAGCTTTTATTCTAATTATAGGGCTGCCTCTTTTTATCTTCACTGTCAATACTGATTTGAAATCAACATGAGATAGCAAACATTGCCATAACACAGACTGGTTTCATCACCAACAGTATAATAGCACTTAACTATGATAAGTGCTTTTGTTTGCTTCTATATGTAATTTCAGGACATGAGAATATTTTTCTAATATTTCACTCATCTCATGTCTTGGAGGTCCCCAAATCCCGCTATGAAAGATAACAGTAATATTTTAATAAAAATGTTAAATTTGAAGACCCCTGCTAGGCCTTTCATCTTTTTGTCTGACTGGACCAACACATCTAATGAGAGGGTGATAATTTAGATGCAATCTCACGGTACTGTATCAACACATAATAAACAATTACCGAAATTGCTCTAAACCTTTGCAAGCTGCCCTGAAAACCTGAAAGCAGTTTCAGCTAAAAGCATTTTCTAATTTTAATTCCTCATAACAGGCTTCTGCACTCAAGCCATCACTTTAGTGATTTTTAAATTACGCCTGCTTTTATTAATGTTAAAACAAACCACTTCAGAACATGCAGTAATGAACACCCACGGTCTGCAAAACAGCCACTTACATCACTCTTCAGCTGTCAAAGCTGGGGAAAAACCCTCCTGATGAAGTAGAGAGTTCAAGTTGACGCTGGCATTTGCTGTGTCAGGTCACCTCCCGTTACCAACAGGTGACAGAAGATTGTCCCTCTCACAGGGCCTGTGGAAATGCGAGCACTGTGACTCGTGGGCATCCCCGGTATGTGACTGTACCACTGAGCGGCTGCACTAAGAGCACATACTGCAGAAAAACAGGTTAAATAAACAGCCGTGTTTCAGTCAGAACCAGAACGGGCACACACACAGATCCTTGCATAGAGTTGGGAGAATTAAAATGCCTGCAGTGCTCTGAAAGTGGAAATATAACCAGTGAGTTTTTCCACTCTGCATCTGTTCTCAGAGAACCATAATACTGTGAGTTAAAGCAACGATGCATCAACTGATTCTTTCAGACACACACACTACAGGGAAATACAGTTCTAGCTTTCTGTGAACAAAACAATAGCAAATCCATTAGCAAAACAATGTTTTCATCCAAACTAAGCTCAAATAATGGGTAATTTTTACCCACAAGGCCTATGTGACCTCTGGAGAGTTAAATCTGATCTGCTGTGTCTAACAAGGTGCAAATTCACCTGAAAATTTTCATCACCTGGACTTCTGATGAAAGACTTGTCAAACATCAACATGAATCTTCCACATTTGAATTAGAAGTGTCTTCCACTTTTGAAGCAGAAGTGCACAGGTCCACCTGCATGGTGTGATCAGGATTTACCACAGTATCACAAAGTAAAATTATCATCAGCACAGAGAAGTTCCTAATGACAAAAGAGATTTTCACCCACAAGGTTTCGGAAGGCTGGACAGAAACCACTGCTGCCAACACAAAATGCAGAAATCAAGCCTATAAAGCAAAAACTGTGAGCTTCCCAATAAAGTTCCCAGGCTGCATTCATCAGAATGAAAATTAGGTGGAGCCAGTGGCTTTTTCATATTCTTACTTCCAGTGTCAGCAACTGCAGCACATCCTGTGCCATTCCAACAGTGAAAGACAAGTCTTGCTCAGCCTGCATTACTTTTATTTCAGTAAAATAAGTTGCACTGCAGCTTTTCCTGGGGTTTTGGCAGTGGCAAACTGGTACTTGCATGCACTGCATGTCTTAGTGTACCACTTCCTGCTGAAATCTGCTCTCCTCACCTGACCTCTGTCAGTCCTCACCTCACAGCCATGGAAAGTCATCAAAAGGACCCCACGAGCAATCTCAGATCAGTTCTCTGATATCAAAAGAGGTGGTTGATTGCTACAAAAAATAATCAAAGTAGACACATCCGTTGGCTCAAGGGTATTTGAGAATTTACTCAGTTTCTAAGTTCTTGACATGGGATGCTACAGATCCATTATTTCTCTCTATATTTCATATTCAACATTTCCTCACTCCGTTCACCTCAGCCCACGTTTCCCAGCGTGAGTCACACCCATGCATCTTGTAATTCTCACAGCTTATGCCTTCCCAGCTGATCACAATACAGGTTCTATTTTCACCAAGTCCAGACTATTTCCTGGATCCTCAGAAGTTATCAACCAGACTTCTCTGCAGAAAATGAATCAGATGAAGAACATCAGCAACGTTCAATTACGTGAATCTGAATGATATAAAGCTGATTCCCAGTAGCTAATATTCCATATAAATAGGGGTGCTTGCTAAGCCATAAATGTGCATTAAGTTCTACAGGCTAAATTTGAAATGTAAGATGCTTTAATTATTGCCTTATTTCTGCTTGGTATTCCATAGATTCATTTTGAAATTACTTATTTCCTTATGATGCTATGCAAACAGTGTTGCCACTCCTATCCATATTTTTGTTTTTGTCTGAGGCCCAACTCGTTCCCAGGTCTGTTCAGGTGTGTTTTATCAAGCTCCTCACAGGGAGATGAGACAATTCCACCCCCACTGCAGTGTCCAGGGCGGCTCTGCCCAGGACCCAGACTTTCCCCCCAGTGCACCTGGATTCCTGTCCTTCCACAGCATTTTGTGGGGCTCCACTTTTCCCTAAGGAATCATAACTTGTGATCTTTCCTTCATTTCAAACATTTTCCAGTTTCTTACCTGGGTAAGACAACCATGAAACACCTTAGAACCAAAACCCAACACACACAACACAACATAGAACCCCCAGAAAAACACAGCGCTCTTAGAAAGGAATTAAGCCCCAGGAACGCACTAAACTTACAGCCCTTTCATTGCCAGTACCTCGTGAAAGATTTCACTGCATCTTCCCACACCTCACAGGCAAACAAACACATGGGCAAATTATCCACTGATGTCAACAAAGACTGGTCACCAGATTGCCTTTATTCTGATTCTAGTTTTGAACACATATATAAACAACAATTATGACACAACTTGAAGCAAAAAAAACCCACAATTTTTTTACAGGTATTTTAAAATGTCTTCTACTACCATTCCAATAGGAACAAAAATCTCTTGCAAATGTCTGACTTCCAAGAGATGATATGCACAACCAAACTTCCTAAAATGCAATGAAATGTTTCCTATACACACTTTTTTCCTTTATATCCCTTAAAACTGATTTTTAAAATTCCCTTTTATTATTAAAAATACTTTTACAAAAATAAAACACTTTCTTTGTTAACTTTAGCTACAGTTGTTTTTTTTCTAGTGGATTCACTGCAAACTGTAATTAGCACAGAGTAGATTATGCACTCCACAAACACCTGATCACTTCTATGGACAAGCACCACTTGCTGATCCCTGCACTGCAGTCCTGATCCCCTTTCCACTGAAGCCAATAACAAAACTCTCCCATGCTCATTTATTAACTATTCTGACCTGATAAAAAATAACGTCAGAGGTTTGTGCTCTTTGTGGTTTGTCAGCAAAAGCAAATCCCAGATTTAGAATTTTGATTCAAGCAAAGCAAAATATGTGATTATAATCAGTTTTTACATCTAAGCTCTGACTTGTCTTTTTTTGCCTCTAAGTAAAAGGTGGGAATAAATTTGCATTATTACAGGACTGCTATAGAACAGGAATATTGCTACTTTGAAATAATTAGTTAAAATCAGAGGCTTGTGGAAAGAGGGAAAAAAATAGCAGTGATCCACCACTAGCTTAATATTCAGTATTCAAAATAAGTCAAAACAGAACACCAGTAGCAGCAAAATAACTCAGGGTTTTCAAATATCCTGATATTAGTTAGAATCTTCTATTACCTACCCTGGCACTGAATAATTGAAAAAAGCATGCATTTAAATAGCTTTTTAATTCACAGGTGTTAGAACACAGGAAGTACATCTTCATACCCAACTTCTTCAGCAATATAAGAGTGCAATGATGTCACCTTACAACAAATAGCTATTTTTACTAAAAATCTATGATCAGTCACTCCAGGCTTTAACATATTATACCAATAATGAAGCCAAAATTGCGTATGTACAAAACAGCTGATATATGTAAACCTCACATTCAGCTTCTGTTTGCAAACAGGTACCTATTCCCTTACCTGCCTGCTGGGCAAGGAAATATCAAAATCAATATTGCTGGTTAGACCGTCAGGAAACAAGATGTCACAACACAAATAACTTCATTCTGGCCAAAGCTAGGCAAGTCTGCTGCCCAGGACTCTTTCAGTAAAAGTGAACAGAGGCTGAGCTGAATCTCCTACCTACCCTTAGACCAAGGTCTAGAAAAAGGATATATTGCTGTACTATCTCTAGGAAAACGAATGTGAAGAGTTCCCCTCCCCATGGCACTGCTGAGAGGCTGACATGGACTGAAGCACTCAGTGCCACCAGGATAACACACACGTTCATTTAATGCACACTGGCACCAGCTGTGCCATCCTAACAGCACATCTTGAAGCAAAGTCTGGTAAAACCCTCATAAATTAACAATAAAAGCAGCAAATGTTTCCCCCCAGCAAAACTGAAAAGTTTTAGTCTACTTAAAGCATCTTTAAAATACTCCACACCCTCAAAAAAAGCACTGACTTTGTCCTGGACAAAGATGGCCTCGTCCCCAAGGCAGGGTGATATTAAAAAAAATGTTTCTGCTTGTAAGTTGCTACTTAACATAAAGCCAGTTTTTTCATCTGGTTTTATCCAGACAATCTGTGAGCCTGATCCGAGTGTGCCACCAGTTTATTTAAACTTTTGCTTTCCTCGCTATTTTTAGCTTGTGGAGGCCGGCACAAAACATTTACTGGAGCTTAATGGCTTGTTCTCTCCTAGCTGTTATTACAAACCATCCATGTGGAAAGCTGTTAACTGTGCAGTTTGAACTCATAGGTGCTTGTTTCCCACTGGTTGACATCGGCGTTGATCATGTTGCGCTCGGTGAACGTCACCTGGCCCTGGGAATCAATGAGCACCACCGTGTTCGTCCTGCAACACACAGGGAGGGGTTAGCCCGGTGTCCAGCACATCAGCTGGCAGCCCTCACGCCCAAAGGTTTCAACTCTTTTTTATTTTATCTCCCATCACCTCATCAGCAGGGCAGGAATCGCCCTGGCAAGTTCCAATGGGCATTTTCAGTCTGTTCTTCTGTCACCCCACTGCTCTGATTCCCTGCTGCACTTGCAGCAGCTGACACACAAAGCTGCTCGTTGAAGGGCAGGATGAAAGGTCAGACTCGGTGCAAAGTGCTCCACTCAGAAAGAAGTAGCATAAAACTGAGTTTTTCTTCACAGCCTACACGTACCCTGAAGGGTTATTTATCCTATCAACAGTGCTCTCTCCATTCCTCTCTTCAAATCAATTGTCCACTGAGATTTAAACACAGTTAATTATTATCACAGGACACCTGATATAGGAGCACAGAAAAGGTTTCTCTCTCTAGGAACCTTCCAAAGAGGAAATCTGTTTTCATGAGCAGCAGATTCTGGTCATGCATGGGTGCCCCTTTGCCCTGTGCAAGCTGTCATTTCTCCATGGACACTGTGTCACACAGGGATGACTGACAGCAGGAATCCTCCACCATCCTGATGTGGTGGCCTTCCCCCAGTCACTTCACAGTTGTTCACTCATATAAAAAGTGCCTAATTTCCTCAGAAGGATATTGTGAGGCCCAGTTAACAATCTGTATTCACTAAACCCTGTTGCCAAGGGAAAGATAAGTGTGAGCATGCAATTATAGCAGTAGGGAGGACCTGAAATATAGAGCCAATTCACCAGTGAAAGGCCAGTATGTCTGCCAAGTTATCCCTGTTTCTTTTGAAATAGCTGGACTCCAATCTGTGAAGCGAGAGGAGGAAGATGCTTCTTTATCAGGTTAAGTCTTCATTATCCTATATTTAAAATGTTCTTCTAATACACTTTATAGAAACCACTGCAAAAACTGAGTATCTCTTTCTCAGAATACCAACTTAAAATGCTTACAGCAGTGAGCACTGTCTGCTTATCAACTCACATCTCGACAGTGGAAACACCATGGCTGACTATGCCAGAGACCAATCTGACAAAATCACTGGCACACTTGGAGAGTAGGAATTCCCAGCAACAGGATTCCCCTGTGATTTTGTCTCACAAGGATTAAATGCAAGGTGCATTGCCTTATTCTGTTCTTCTTGGTAGAACAGTCTGAGCAGAAAGTGAGAATATCTCAGTAAAAGAGCAGCGTTAGTTAGGGGAGAAGCAGAAATACATGTTCATTTGAACAAGAGCCATGGGGTTTTAATGCCTGAAAGTGGCAGATCCGTTTGACAATGCCATGTCTGAAGAACCCCTGATTTAGCTCTGCAGATGACACCACTCCTGCTCGTGGACGAGAAACGTTCTGCAGTATCTTCAATAAGATCAAAGTGCTCAGATCTGCCACTACCCTGGGAATTGTTTTACCTTGTTCCATAACCTGGGCAGCGAACACACACAGCTGCGTACTTGTTCAGCATGGGACGGATGTACTCCTTCCCCTGGGCTTCAATGGCAGGGTCTGGTAACTGACTGAAAAAAAGGAGCAAAGTGGTTAAAAAAAATTAAAAATTCTCCAGTGTTAACACATTCATCCCTCTTAAGCTGGAAGGAGTTGCAGGACATCCCTGGTATCACAGTCAGAGGCAGGGCTGGAGCAGAAGAGAGCGGGTAAGGGACAAACCAGCTGTGGCTGCCCCATCCCTAGGAGTGTCCAAGGCCAGGCTGGACAGGGATTGGAGCAACCTGGGCTACTGGAAGGTGTCCCTGCCCATGGTCCCTTCCAACCCAAGCTGTTCTATGATTCCATGTGCGTGCTTTCTCTGTGTGCAGGAACAAACTGCACCTTACCCGAGCCTCCAAAAAGCTTAGAGCAAGCAACTCAGTCCTGCACTCACTGCCCTTACTAAGGGAAATGCAAGCTTTAAAAGGGCACAGAAAAACCAGTGTTCAGTTGAGGAGTACTAAGAGTGCAGTAGTGCTGTGCCTCCTGCTCAAAAATCAATACTGTTCAAAGTCAGTCTCTGTGGACAGAAAGAACACTACTTCTGCCCTTCATTACCCAGCTTTAGTCAATTAATATATGGCTAAAGCTTTTTCTCTGTCCAAACAGTTTCTATATGCAATTTTTAAAGGGGTCATATTGTGTTTTCAGTGAACTCCAGCTCTCATGTCCTTACGGCTCTTGGTTGTTCATCACTGTAAGAAGCTCCTTCACCAAGTCTTCTTTGGTAAGGTCTTGACTTCTCTTCACCACTTCTGTGAAAAGCTGCTTCCCATACTGGAGCTTCTTCCATGGTGTATCCAGCAAAGAATTACTCAATCCATATATTCCTACACACACACAAAAACCAATGCAATGGAAAGTGTATTCTGGTGAGTTGACATTACAGATTTCAAGAATTTTAATAAAATACAGTTGGTTCCCCTAACCTTTACCTGCAGGTGTGCCATAAACACACACGCTGGGTAAGGGAGTTGGGGTCAAATCCTTTGAAAATTCCATTCCTTAGGACAGACTTCTGTCCTTCAGGCATAGTCCACTAACTGCAGTACAGGTGGGTACATTACCATGGACAGAACCTTTAATGAACTATTGATTCTGTATAGAAATTTATTAGTAAATACTTAAAAGAATTCAAAGACATTTAATAGTATTTTTTTTTAAAGAATGGGAAGAAAAAGTCAGTGAAGACAATGCTTAAATAGCTGAACTCCCAGAACAACACAGAGCTACAGAAGAACAGGTAATTCAGACCTCTCTGAAGAAAACCTACCAGCATTGAGGAAAATGGGTTCTGGTTCTCCTTTGTTTCCATAGTAGCAAATTACATCTCCTTTGGTGGTACTGCAAAATATAAATAAGAATTTCTCCTTGAAAAGCCATCAGCTCCTGCATTTGATTACGCTCCAATTTCACACAATCTTCAAACGCAGTGAGAGGTTTCTCCCACTGTTACTCCTATGGTTCCAGGCATTAATTGATGAGTTTTAGCACTCTCCTCCTCTCAAAACACTGCATTAGCTGCACCGCTATCACAAAGTACCATCACCATTTTAAAACATAACTGCAGTGGAATCCAGCAGAACCCCAGAACTTCTGCATGGAAAGCAGCCAGGAATAATGACAAAAATCTGCGGGGTTTGGGATAACTGGAGATTTCATTCCTTGGGAGAAGGGGACACACTAAAGCAAAGGAACTGCCCATCACAGCAGGTAACCTGTCCCCCATCTCCTGTTCTGAATCCCCTGCATTCCAAGGCTCTGACTCCCTGGGCCATTTCAGCTGGCACATTCAGAGCAGTGCTGGAGGGCACAGCTGGTCCTTGCAGTGACAGATGTGCATTTGCAGGCTGTGTGCAGATAACTGGCTCCTGTTTGCAAGCTCCCTCTCTTTAACTGGAGGCACTGGCTGCTGCTCTCTCTTGAGCACAGTGTTCAAAGGCAGGTTCCAGCACTGCAGATAACTCTGCTTTGACAGAGATGGTATCAGCATATCCAAACAGCGGGGACTTAACCACTCATACTCATATTGACAACACAAACAGCAAACCAATGATAAAGAAAAGAAAATAAAGTCATCAATAAGCCTTGTGTGCCTCTGGAAATGGACTGCCATCGGATGGCTCACTCCCAACATCCCTCAATCCCATCAGCTGACATGGAATTCCTCAGTGATTCCTCAGACTGCCACCAGTTGGGCTTTTTAATTTGCCAGAATACAGCAATGAGATCTTTGAATTCTCTGTTTCCCCCTTCTGATTTACTTGGTCACAATGGAAGAGAGAATTATTCCAGTTACCAACAAACACATTCTGACCATTGTTCAGCTCTCAATTTGTCTCCCATCCTCCAGCTCCTCAGACAGCAGATAGGCTTTTTGAATTGGAAAAAAAACCCCAAACAAGCAAAACTTGCAGTTAAAATTGAATTTGGATTAAGCAGCATAAAACATAATACAGTAGAGAAACCATTTCCAGCTCCTCATTTTTCCCTAAGATAAAAAGAAGTATCTCTGCATTCTGCACACTCTGATCTGCATCAGGGCAATCTCATTAATGATGTCCTGGAACTTAAATTGCTCTGCATAACTTAGCATCCACCACTCAAACCCTAATAACGAGCACAGCCCTGATTTAGCTGTTTATATTCTGCTTGAAAAGCCATTCTGAAAGACATTCTACAGCATCCTTTGCAAGGCAGCCAAATGAAGAAGGAAATATTAACTTATTAATTATACAACTCCAAAGAGCCAAGAAAAAGAATATATAAAAAAAAATAAAGCAAAACTAGAACTGTCTTTCTCTGTGCACTACTCTTCCTCCTCCCAAACCCATGAGACTTTTCTGATGCCTTACAGAAAGATGCCCAAGTTTTTCAGCACAGATAGAAGACAGTAATTACAGGTGGTATTTGTGTATTGTTCTTTTATTGTTAAATATCATATATGAAGCCCTCAGTTATCCAATTTACAATCTGTCTACTGTTAAAAAAAACACATCACTTTCTGAACTTTCCTCTAGTGGCTTAAAAGACATTTATTTTCCTTATCTTTGTTTTTCTTCTCAACCTTAGTGTTGATCTCAGGACTTTCTGACCACCTGAACTCTCCAGAGATGAGTGCCCACAGCAGAACTGGGACCACTCGTGCTCCAGTTCCAGCAGGGCTGGATATGGATCCTCCTTCCCTGTTGTGCCTCTGTTTCTGAAGCACTGCAGGTTTTGGTCTCTGCTAGAGTTTTCATGGTATTACCTGGGATATTCTTATGCATCAACAACAGCAAGAAAGTTTGTTGTGAAATTATTTCTTTACCCCAGTTGGAGTATTTGCACTGGGAATAACTAGACAGGACGTAACAAAAGCAGCTGAAACAAAACAGAAGGGAAACACAACATATGACCGGAATTTGCTTTCCTCAGTTTCCTGAGACACAAATTTCCGTCCCACTACCACAGACTGACCTGTGTATACGACCCACTTAAATAACCTATTGAAAGAGTTGTATTTTCTTAATCAGAGACAAAAGGTGTTTAAAAACTATTATTCTAGAGCACAGTAAAGCAGAGAATTAGAGCCTTTCAAGGAACAGGAGAAAGTGCTGCTGAAAAGTACAGGTGGAAGAAAAAACCAGTTCTATTAGCAGCAACCTGAAACTATTATATTAGTGCATTAACTACTCTCTTTTCAAATTCTTGAACCTGCACCTGGTGTGAAAGGTATGAAGAGAAAAAGTTCAGGGCAATTGTTATCACCTGAGGTCTCAAAAACCAGCGTTAGATGGAAAGGCAGACAAATGACCCACACAAGCCTTGAACAGGGCTGTCCACGTCCTGCCACAGATGTGACTGCCTGCTGTGTAAATAGGCACTGCTGGCTTCCTTTAGCCATGGCTCTTCATGGGAAAGAATATTATCATCCAGCATCTGTGCTGAGACTCTCGTGACTGACAGGCTCAGTAACAAGATCCCCTGGAGTTTAACAAAGAGATGGGGAATACATTCAAACTGCAGGGTCACTAATCCAGGACATCTGTATCTTATTGTTTCCACATTCCCCATTCCCCCAGATGTGTGTTTCCACTTACCTCCACTGCAGCACTGCTGCTGTCTTCTGTCAAAGGAAGACTGAAGCCTCCCAAGAGGCTTCTGAAACGGGCATACTTTCAAAATTTAGTTCACTGTGCCAGTCAGCTTCTCTTCCTTTTGTCATTTGGCTCTGCCTATTCCCTTCCTACTGTTTACAGACACTCGGTACTGAACGTCAAGGCAGAAGCCAAGATGAAAAAAAATCACCATAAACTTGATCATAGCAATAGCCTCAAAACCCTGGCCCGTGCTCAGATTCTCTTCCCTTCCAGCTTTACAAGTATAGATACCAATTTCACTGGAGAAGTAATAAAGGCATAATTAAAGTGATCACAATAGGGCCCAGTAGGCTTATTTTTAAATCCCAGCCATAGCTGACAGCAGAAAGAAACTAAAACTGCATAAAAATCATGCTCTCAGATACATCATTCTGTCAAAAAATGTAAGCAATAATAAATGTTCCAGGAAATATTCCAGGCAGCATAAATCTCAGTAGAAACAGAAGCTTCACAGCAGCATGAAAGCCATGCAGAGATTGCCACAATCACTTCTTAATGCTGATGAAACATAAGCAGTGTCCTTCTGCTGCCCTTCAGGGTGGCCTCAGGTCACGCTGGACAACACCACGGGCCGAGAGGAGAGGAAAGCAGCAGTGAGGCAGTGAAGCTGCACAGGGGGTGGTTCTCCTCAAGGGATCCCTCCCCTGGGCTCTGCTCTGCTCACAGGGGCAGCACCTCACACAAGGACACTGGATTGTTTTATGAATAATCTGTGCTTGTATTTCTGTGCAAGGACAAAAGAGGAAAGCGGCAGCCTGAAATGCTGAACAGTAGTTTCAGCTAAGTAATACAGTTCACAGATTCTTTTCTTCAATGTTCATGAGCTAATCAGAAAACCTTTTCTGTTCTGAAACTAAAAATACACAAGCAAACACCAAACCACCAACTCTAATGCCCAAAGATATCCCACCTACCGTCCAATAAAAGAATTCAGCCAGATATTCACAGCATGCAAGGTCTGCTTTGAAGTACTACTCTGATTTTGCTGTCAGTGTCTAAACATTTCTTTGGTGTTGTCCTTAGATTTTGGGCCAGGCAGAAAGTGACACCAGAGGAAAGAGAGAAAATAAAAAAGTGGTTCAGAAGCTTTTTTCCTTCTTTTGACATTGGACTGTCCATCTATCCTCTAGAAATGACCAAAGATCTATGCAGAAATATTTCTGGACACCTCATTTTCATGAGGGAGCCACAAGAAGCAGGACAGGTGTACTCTGCAAAAGGTGATACTGCATTAGGACTGACAGTGCAAGAGAAGAGATGTCAGTGAGCTCACAGAGCAGTCCTGACAACCTGACCATGCCCGTTCCTTCCACAGCAGCACTCTGACCCTGTCTCACTCTTCACTGGAAAGGCTCCTAGATCCAATCCCTGGAGAGCAATCAAAGCCTGCCCACACAGCCAGCCTTGGTACCCCCACTGAAGCACAGGCACGGCTGATGATGCAGTCACTGCATTTCCCCTGAGGGACTGAGGGCTGGCTGACAGGGAGAGCAGAGGAGCTTACCTGGAAGGCATCTCTGCAATCCCCTCCAGCTGACTCGTTCTGGAAGGGACAATTTGTCTATCCCTCCTGGAGAAAGTGATTCACTCCTGCTACACAGGGCTCTTACTGCACACAAACTGTATGGGCTCTAAGTGACAACCTGTCAGACACTGAACTTGCTGGGCGAGCGACAAGAAGCTGCCAATTCCATCTGTCCTTCGGGGCACTCTGTATTACACACTTGGCAGGAAGAACACAAGTGAGATGCTGCCACAACAGCCCTGGCAGAGGTTTGAGATACCCATGGAAGTCTAAGTGCCTGCAGCAACGAGATTTGTTGGACATAAATGCAGGTTTCCCAGGACAGAAATGATGTCCTGATCATCACCAAAAGCAGCTCACTGACTTCAGATACTGTCACAGATGGAGAAAGAAGGGAAACTGCTCTGAATCTTAAGCAGACATTTACTTAGAGACCAGCCCAGTCTCTGAAACCTTGTTCAGAGTATCCAAGGCTAAAGACCTGTCAAAACTGAGAAATTAATCAACACACACAGCTTTCAGAGTGATACTCAGCAAGGAATTATGATCTGTATCACCATGGAAAGACTATTCAATTGAAGATACAATTCCCTATCAGCCCAGCACAGAGCAATAACCAAACAAAACCAACACAGGAATGACTGTCCTAAATAACATCAATCAGATCCACTGTAATATCTTCTTGCAGGAAAGTGGGGGAGTAGGGAAGAACTGACCAGTAAGTCTGAACCACCAGCTGAAGGGGGTCCAATGCAGACAGTGAAAAATGTAAACACAAGGCTGGTTAGTGAGAGGGTGCTGGAAATCATTTCCACTCAGAACAGCGAGCACTGTGACCTGCTGCTGCTTTAAGGGCCTGTGGCTCCCCAGAAGCAGGCAGAGAAGCTGAGTGGGAGAAGGCCCAGCACCACGGGGTTGTCTGATAAGATTAATGCTGCTGCAGACAGTGTGCCAAAGCAGGGGTGTGCTCTGGGACATTTGTGCTCATGGAGAGGATCCACCTGGGAATGGACATGGCCCAGCCCTGGATTCCCTTCCTCTCCACAGGCACAATGCAAAAACCACTCAGCATGTGTACTGGTGAGCTGACACACAGGCACATGCAGTGGGGAGGATTGTCCCAAACACACTAATTATAGTCAAGCATCCAAGATCCTTTCTTCAGCTACAGAAACTTTGAGCTAACGTAGATGTCTTACGCTGATTTTTAATGTTTCAGGAAAGATTAATGACACAGCTACTCTGACAGGAAAGGTGTCTTGAAAGCCTTCAGGTGCTTTGATCCCACCACAGCACATCACCTCTCAGAGAAAAAAGGCACCTGAGAAATTATGGAGCCGAGGTTTTGTTTTCTCCAAACACAAGCCCCAGAGCCCTGAGGGTAAAGACTGGCTGTGGCCTCTCAGGGAGTCACACGAAATAAGAACACAAGACAGTCCTCCAGTGTCAGACAGACAAAAAAGTACCACAGGAAATGATGACTACAGTAACATTAGGACCTTCCATGCCAATTAGCAAAACCCACGAGCTCTAACTTTAGTTTGTGACAGGCTCCTGCCCTGTTACACATCTGTGCTGTGAGGGATGTGTACAACACTGCTCCCTGTGACACCCCAACTGTGCTGTTTTAGACTTACTTCAAGTCAGCTGCTAACAAATTAAATCCATTGTAAAGGTGTCCCTCTACTGAAACTTTCTTCAAGTAAGAGTAGCTGTCCAGATCTGCAGTCAAGAAGTTTGTTACAAGAGCACCTAAGAAAGAGAAGTACACAGAACAAATAGGTGTGAGCTCACTGTTCTGACAGGCCTGCTAAAACAAACAGCAAGGTAAAGATTCCAACAGGCTGTGACAGTGGGGAAAAACCCAAAATCAAACCAAGTAACAAACCAGCCTTAAAAATCTTACATCATAGGACCACATTCCTATTGAGAGCTTGACTTTTACTCTGAAGAACTCGGTCAAAAGCTCTAGGTCAAAAATTCCACAGAATTCATATTACTAACTACTCTAAACTGCATGAGCCTCTCCTCTCCTCCCACCTTACAAATTCTTTCTTGTCTTGCTTCATTTCCCTGATATATGACCCTAAAATGAAATACAAATGACGTGGTTCATTCGTTTTCTTTCCCTAACATCTTTTGTCATTACAATATATTCCCAATGCAGCAGCTTATGACAAAGAGACCCATTTTTACTCAAAAAAAGCCCCACAGATGTGCTCTGTTGAGAATCCTCTTCAAAAGAGGGTTTTTCCTATATTTCTGCTCCTCTGATCTAGGGGAAGAAGAGACTGTAATAATCTTTTAGGTTACCTCCAGCATAACTCAAGTGGTATTGATTCCCTGACATAGGTGTTTGAACATGAATATATCCATTTAAAAAATCCAGCTCAATGCTTGGCTAGTTGTTCTGCCTGTTAACTGGAATTATTTTCAAGAGGAGACAGTTGGTGCTGCATTTCTTGTCTGAACGTAACTTGAGGCTCTAGGCACTACATCTTGTTTTACTTTGGCCTGTTTGATCAGAAAATCATTATCCAAGTCAAGTTTCTCACACAGGTGCTCCAACTCATCAGTTCACAAATTCTGTTTACAGCACATAAACATTCTATTTGCCCATAAAGCTGTGTTGTTAGGAAAATTATTACTGTAATCATCACTATTTTACTGGAACACCAGGGCTTGTTGGTTCACTTTCTTTTTTTTCTTCTTCTGTTTCAACTCTTTCATACCTCTTCCTTTTGCATTTTTATCAATCTTTGGCTGCATGTAGTTTGTCAGGGCTGCCATCTTGCCTTTCTTACTGATTCCCAGCCACGTCCCACCTTCTTTTCCTTCCTCCATATCCAGACCTAATGGAATAAGTAAGAGTTAGGTTATTAAATTTGTTTAAAAACATCTCCAGTTTCGACCAGAAGATATTAAAAAAACCCCCACAAGATATCAAAACACAAATAAGATAATAATAGCACAACTCATCTTTCAGACTTACTTATTTTCCTCAGAATTACAGGAAGAAGCAAATTTCTTATTAGAAAGGCAACACCACCACCCTAGTAACAAAAAAATCCAGGCCATGATTCCCTTACAAATGACATGCAAACCTCTCAGAACAGCAAGACACACATACCACTGAGGATCTCATTGCTGCTGTCCCAGAACTCAGCTGATTTGGATGGTCTGTGGTAAAATTCATCTCTGTTAGCTGCTAGAATAAGCCTGTGGAACACAGGAGGAAAAATACACTATTACTTACAAATTGGAACTTCACAGTGCAGGCAGGAACAGAATCCAATTTTTGCCACAGCATTAGCTCATTTTAAGCATGAAACCACCCTTTATCCTCCCGTCTCACCTTTCTCACTCAGTGGAAAGGCCAAATGACATCTGACAGCAGCCTTGTCTCTCACTGCCCTGAGACAGCAAGTCCCTCTTGCTGAGTGAATGAGGCAGGTATTATTTCCACAGAACAATACTTACCATGGCAGAGACTGAATTTAGAGCACATAAACAAGATTCCTCAGCATGAAGTTACAGCTTCATTAAAGAAAATGTGAAGATAACCCACAGATTCATAGGTAACTTCCCCAAAAATCTGAAGCACAGAGTGTGCTTTTACCAGATCACTGCTCAACATCAGTCACAGTATTTCTCAATCTATCTTTGACACCTAAAGCTCTAATTATGGGGTTCAAAGATACCAGTCAGATGGTTTTGTCTGTAAGTACTCAGAGCAGAGAGAAATCTGTGGCAGTGTCAGAGGTGCAGCCCCCCAGAAATTCGTGGATGAAGTGACAGTATGCTCAAGGAGGCAGAGGAGTAAAGGGAAAAGGTGTGGGGTTTTGTAACAATCAAGAGATATTCTGGTGGGCACTCTTTCCCTGATTTTTGTTGCTTTGTGGGTTGGGGTATTTTTGCATCCATAGCTGCTTGCATAGTTTGAGTTCTGCTAGAACAGGAGGAGGTGGCACCATCAGGAGGGAGGAAGAAGCTACGAAAAATAATATGCAATTGAAAAATGTTGCTGGATGAAGCCCATTCTTTATCTTTAGAAATAAACACATCACTCCACAAGACCAAGTGCTGTCCTGACAAAAAGCACCCTGCAGCTCTTCACGTGCCACCTAAAACTTGATAGTTTTAGAAAATCTGTCCTTTGTACTTCGACAATTACCTCTGAACTTTGATAATTATCATAAATGGCACTTTCACACTTGAAAGACCCAAGTTCAACATGATATTTAAGAAGCAGCAGGCAGGCAAGATAAGACAGGTCTTCCTCAGAAGTTGCAGTCTTTGCAGCAGTGCAGATCCCTCAGATTCAATGCTAACACCAGTTCAAGGCAGTCAGGCTGGGACTGCGGAGCAGATAAGTTTTAAGGAGTCAGTACAGCCAGACAGCTCCCCAGGAATTTAGAACACTCTCCATTCTTGGCCTCTGAAAGAAAAAACTGTTTCTGTGTCCATTTCATCCAGCAGAAGTTATTAAAACAAAGCAACTTTCTTGGTGTACTCCTTAGAGACCACACAAAGCCCTCAGTGAATGTGTGCTGCACTCATTTCATCAGCAGTGTCAGCCCTGGAACACCAGAAAGAAAAGCCTGGGCTAATCTGACTGCACATCCATCTTCTGAAACTGAGGAAGTGAACACTTTCTGTTATTCAAAAGCAAGGGAAGACAGCATCACTAAATTTAATTACTTATTGCAGCATCAGATAGATGCAGGGTATCTATAAATAAGAGCTTGAGTTAGCAGTGTTAGAAATACCCTAGAAAAAGAATTGTAATCAGCTACAGAGAAAGTAAAAAACCCTCCCACTTCAAGGCATCCTTTCTGTAAGGCAGGTGCTTTGTATTTTGCCCAGCAAAGAAGCATCTGTTGGAAGCCAAACTGTATGTACATTTTTTTTCCTTTCCAAAGAAAATATAATATTGTTCCTATCAAACTTGTATAATTTTTCTTCTTCTAGCTGGTTCTCCTCTTTGACCTGTAGGCTTTCAGCTGGTTTTCCAATTTTCTGTCATCTTACTCGAATATGCTGCATTTATATCGTGCAGCCTCCTTTTGCAGATTTTTATTTAAATTAACATCACCACTGTTAAAACACAGTTTGGCTGAAGTGCATTTCTCCTCTCCTGAAGCTCCAATTTGCCTTCAATAATTCTTGACTTGAAACCACGGTTTGTTTATAGTATCTAAATACCAAAAAAAAGTGAAGTCTCTCTGGTGTGACTGAATATTCCCCATCTCAAGTTTAATGCAGACTCCTAAATTTATCACAAGGCTGGTATACAAGATCATAATAATAAAACCATCTTTATTTTGTCTTTTATGAAACATAATCATACTGAAAAGGAGCAATATTAAGTGACCCTCATCTTCTAATAAATTGCAAAAAGCCCACTCAGCCATGTTATAGCTGAAATAATTCAGCTGTACCAGGATTTACGTAATAAGATTTATTTTAATATTGAGAGAGATGAAAACACGAGAAATCATTCCATTAAAGCAATTTCCTACAATGCAATTCAGCTCCATAAAAAAAGCCTCCGTGATTACAGCTTCGAAGCTCGAGACATGTATTTATTTGTGAGACGCACAGGGCACAGCTGAGCAAGATGTAAAGGCAGCTGATACCTCTGCCAGTGATGATGGGCTGCAGGGAAGGGCTCGTTCCACTGCACTGAACTTTGCTGCAGCAGGCCCAGAGAGAGCAGGCAGGGCAGGCTGCAGAGCTGCAGGCACACAGCTCTGCTCTGGGGCACAAGGCTCTCAGCTCTCTGCATAACGAGGTGCTGGTGGAAATGACCCCGGTGCAAAACTCTGCCCGGGGTTACAAGGTTTAGTCTGGCCATTTGCTTCCAGCCAGTAAACTTCCCCAACCACGAGCACTCTGTCTTTTCAACTCTTAATGCCTGTTACAGACACCCTTCTAGTTTGAGATGCAAGGTGGAGAACAGTGAGGGAAGCGATTGCCTGCTTTAGAATGGACAGATTAGTGTGTCTGCAGGTACAGGAACCCCCTTTTGGTTGGGAAAACTGTTCCAAGGCCTCACCATGAAGTCAACAGAGCCACAGTACAGTGATGCACGAGCTGCCAGGAAAAATGACACTCAGCGAGGACTAGTCCAGAGATGTCTAACTTGGCCTAATGGGTACCAATCAGGAGGGCTGGGTACTGTTCCCAGCTGATACTCAGACCTGTGTCCTTAAGAAAGCTGAAGCTAAGGTGAAAAAAACCTTAGGAACAATTTAAAAAGAAAGAACTTCGACATTCTTCCAAATAAAGAAAAGCAGAAAGATTTAGCTAGGGTGTGTTAAGGACAAAAAATAATAAATGGGGGGCTAAAGTTATGTATCTGAGGGTAAAACCCGACACCAGGAACATTGTGGCCTGGCACTTATCTCCCAAACAGATGGCCCAGAGTGATTTATCTCAGAGGTACAGAGCAAGACACTGCTGAACAAGAGTTACTGAGAAAGTTAGATACGATTAAACACTCCTGAACCTGGGCCAAACATCTCAGAAGTGTTGTCCTATTCTGACACTGACAGCGAGTTGTTTTCTGACATAAATTATTAATTTCAATCTCGATGCAATTTTTTATAGCAAGCAAACTACTGTAAGTTTTACTTTTAAATATTGATTGTGGCAGAAAGTTCACTTGGCAAGCAACTGCAGCTGACATCCAGAGCATTTTCCCAAGAGGCATCGGATTGCTGAATCTGTCTCTCACTAACTAGTAATACAAAGAGAGTCAGACCAAATAAATGGGGATATTAATTCAGCACCAGTCACATCATAAACAAAACCCCCTTTTAGGCAGATTCCAGATGCAGAAAGGAATGCACTCTACGGACAACTGAGGTTTGGGTTCTCATTTCCTTTCTTTCTGTGGAATGGCATCTGCTCCTCAATACAACAAGGCAGAAAAGTCGGTGAAAGGCACAACGATTTCCTGAGCATGCTGACTCTGATGGTTTCTGGATGAATACCAATACTTGAACCCCACAAAATAAAGTGGAACCTGTGCAGTACACAGAAATACAGAAAGCAATGAAACTTTACAATCTGCTCCCTGGCCTGAAGTGCTGTCTTTCTACTGCATACTCAGGGTACTCAAAGCTGCTGCTGCTGTTGGATGTGAAGTTGAAAAACTGAGGGCTGTAATGAGAGGAAGTTTAATGTTTTGGAAACTCCCTGTATGCCATCCACACATCCTTACAAACTTACCTAGAAGCCTGGATGCTTATTTGGTCTTCAGGTTTGGGCCAACCCTTTCCTACACGTGACTTAGTTTATTACCTACAATTTTAACTGCAAGCAGATTTTAGTGTGGGGGAAGGCTAGGACACTTATTGTAAGTTCCTTTAAAACTGATTTTAAACTGGAAACCCTAAGCTTATCTACCAAACTGAAAGGAGGGGACAGCTGCACCTGCAATGCTCAACAAACACCTTAGTTCAAATGCTGAAGCAGAAGGCAGGACTTTCAAACTCTGGAGTACAATATTTAGAGGACTTACACAGCACATGACACATCACCAGCTAGAGGTCTGGGATTGCAAAGCCCGAGTCTTCTGACAGTCTAAAAACAAAGGGTCCTCAAAGGGTTACAATAAATCCTCCAGTGGGGAAAGCCCTGAAGGTAAACACTACAAAGGCACAGCAGAACACATCATTCTGACTTGAGTTTGCAGTTCATGTACTGGGTACAAAAAGAAATGGAGTAAAAACACAGAAGTAGGTCTGTTTTTAAGTGGAACAATCTTACCTGTATGCATTTTTTGAAACTGGGCGGGGGTCAAACTTGAAGAGAAGGATGCACATTGAAGAACTGATGTTTAAATCTTGGTTCCTCAGCAAAGGCTCAATGCAAGGTCATTCTGTAATAGCCTGAAATGTAAATTAAGATTATCTATTACACTGCAAATTATAAAAGGATAAACTTGATTCTGTGCTGAAGCTTAAGGATTGCAATGTACTGACTTTCTTTTCCACTATCAAGTCAATCCCTAAACAACTGGTTTAGAAATTAATCATAAATTAAAGATGCAGTCTTGAATTTTGGATAAGTGCTTTACTAGCCAAGTGTTAAAAAAGACCCACAGCCAGCTTTACACAGATAATCTACTCAGTCTTAGGGTGTTATTCCCCTTCTCAGACCCCACTGCTGCATTTTCAGAGACTGCAACCATACTGGACTTGTACAACTGAACTACCTGTACTGGAAGACTTGGATCTTTTGCACACAGACCTTGGCAGCTTTCCCAAAACTCAGGGTGTGTGCCCCAGCTGCTCTATGTCACCAGGCCTGTTTCAGAAACAACACTCACAGCTCAGAGGAGATCCCCTCAAATCCACAGCTGAGAAGTTTCCATTTAAATCACCACCAGGAACACGGTGGGTAAGCATTGAAACTTTTTATTGGCAAAGAAGGCCACTTGGTGAAAGCAAGGACATAAAATACAGTTTTAATGGACAACTGTTGCTGACTGCTCCTGCTGACTAAGGAGATATGGCTCCTGGTATTCATTAGGTGTCCTGCCAGACAATTAAATGGATTACTCAATAAAAAACTGTTGGCAATTAATCACTCATAAGACCACTATTTTAATAAACATGTTTCAGGCTCCATTAGCTGATGTATTGAGTTCCCTTCAAATAATCAATTCAGGCCAGCTGTTTGTGCAAAATTACTGGCCACATAAAACTTACACAGAAACTGCCACTCAGAAAACAGCAGCAGAGTAAGTTTGTAACGCTCAGCACAATTATCTAGAAGGACAAGTATTTTCAACACTTCAATACCTTTCCACTACTGCTTTGACAGAACCATCTTTTTATCACCCCATCAACCTTGCCTGATGTTATTACAGCACTTTAAGTTACATTTGTGGTTTTATTAACTCCAAATATCAAACCAGTGTTATTATCTTGGGCTCCACCTGCCGGCCTTGAAACAAGCATAAGTGTTTATAGGTCCTACATAAACAGCCCAACCTTTTTTTCTTTTATTCAGACAGAAGTGTTAAGTCAGATAAAACAGAGCTACCCCTTAAAATAGCAGCAACACTTAACTGGCAAAGGAGGCAAGCAATGTATTTTGGTACCTTCTTTGATCAAGGCTGACACTGCACTTGCAACACCTGTTGTGGTTTTATACCCAGGGCTGGATGTTAGCTTTAAAATTCTTAAACAGAAGCACGCTGTGAGTCAGACTCAAAGTGGGATATTCTGAAATTCACAATAATTAAACACTAAGAGGAAAAAAAAACTGAAGAGAAGCTGTCGTAGATACCATAAGTACCTAAATATTCAATGAGAAAACTCTTCATACAGGTGTCATCCTCTTGAGCTCATGTTCACAGAAAAGCGGGTGCTGCAACTATGGGGGTGAGACGAGCATTTTGCTGCCACCACAAAGCAGATGTGTCAGCAGCCTCCTCCTCACACAGCTCAGTCCCCACACACCGAGGAGACGAGAAGATGAAAAAGATTAGGCCAGCACTGACTTCCCCTTGCAACTGGATCCTACAGCAAGGCCAAAGCTTGATCAAAAGCTGACTTCGTTGAGCAGAAAATGAGTCTTCAGAACCATCCTTGGAGATGCAGGAGGTGGCTTAGTTCAAATACAAAAGGCTAAATTGTGGCACAACACTTGCCAGACGGTTTTCTTTTTGAAGACAAGCCAGAATATACACACTGTGAAACACGGCAAAGTCTGCAGAAAGGGAGAAAAAAACCCCTCTGCTCTAAGGTGGAGACAGTGAGGACTTACTGCTCTCTGGATAACGGGCTTTTATAAATTCTGGTTTGATTATCCCTAGTCAGTAAGACAGCAGTTAGCAAGGATGACACGATCAGCAACAACCCCGTTTCTGTAATGTTTCCAGTTTGCTGTCCAACTTACGCCCAACACGCACAAAGCAGCTCGCCGGGAATCCCAAACATGCTGTAATTAAGCGTTCTGCTCCAAATGGCACCGCTAATTTGGAAATGGCACTCGAGGAACCAACGTTCTAGTTGTGTGCTACTGGGCTCTGTCAGACAGTACAGGGTGTTTTGCTCGCCTTAAGGATCTGTTGAAAGCCTGAGTGGATGCACAACCAGCACAAGGCAGCGTTTAGAGGAACTATCAAGAGACCCAAACATGATAGATTGTGTATGCTCTTTTCATAGGGTTCTACCATCATTTGGTTGATTAGAGGCAATCAGTTCACAATTTGGCATAGAACTATTCTACCCTTAAGAATCCCCAGTAGCAGGCTTTGAGAAATGAAGCCATTTGTTATGTAGTTTGTTTTCACAAATGAAGCATCATAAATAACACCTGTCAGTTACCACAGTGATCTCCACTGCTCCTCAACTGATCCAAAGCTATTGTTTAGGCGCAGTCTAAAACACAGCTAAAAAATCATTTATCACTGGAATCTGCTACTTTTATGTACCACAACAATAACTCATGGTCAGCAGAGTCCAAAACTATTTTGCTGTCTCTCTTGACCATGTCCAGATGAAGCTGAACACTAGAGTCCTCGAATGCCCATTAAAGGGCCATAAAACTGGATGCATTTTCTTGCACTAGTGGAATGAATTTTTTTTTTAATATGGAACTTTAAAACCATCAAAAAAGAGAGATGACTGATGAGTTCTAGAAAGTCATCTATTTTTTTTCCTCAGAGAAAAGTGTCTCATGGCTGCATTTTTAAAGCATTTTACTGTTTTATTTTTGCACTTCCCCTGTGCAGCACATGCTCCTGTGTAGCAATACGAATAGATAAAGAGGAGGTGGAATACACGGATCTCTAATTTAATGCCTTTCAGGTTGCTCTGTATACAGACTGTAACTAATGCATGGTTTGTAACCCTACCAAGGTGAAGAGCCAGTCTTCACTGCAAGAGACAACAATGCACAGTACAACGCTTATGGAAAACAGAAAATACCATGTAAGGTGCATGCCATTCCCAAGTTTAATGAGCTCGTTTTATTTTCAGCTGCCTGATTTCTCTCCTGCTAGGTTAGGTCTGCTGTACAGCTCCCACGAGAAACAAAGGCCAGCAAACATAACCTTTCACCACAGCATGTTTTAGAAGCATTTGCAAGGATGGAGTGGAACAGCCTTTCCCCCACTTTCTCAAGACTACAGCCTTCTCCTTTGGCACGGATCTGCAGACCCAGAGCCTTCTGCTGGACTGTTTTCCTCAGGCAAAAGCTGTATTTTCAGCTCGCACAATTCTTAGGTTTTCTTCAGTGAGGAACCACCAAAAGAAGTCAGTGGTTCCCAGCGTCTTTCCGCGACAATTTCTTGCCCTCAAAGTGTCGCCGCATATTAAAAATTAATTAAAAAGCTGCTTTATTGCTCTTGTACGATTGCAGTTGCTCCTGTGCGTGACCCAGGTACCAACCGGCCACCACCCGCACAGCCAAAGAAACAGGTGCGAGCCGACCCTTCCAGTGGGAACATTTAGGATAAAACCCTCAGCAAATGGCGCTCGGCACAGCGTTCTGCTCGCCGGGGAGGGCCGTGCCGGTGGCCGGGAGGGGCACACGGAGCTCCCCCCACACCGGAGCCCGTCAGCTCCGGGCCGGCCGTGGCAGAGGAGGCTCCCCCGGGCTGTGCTGCCCCGGGCTGTGCCCCAGCCCGGCCCTCGGCCCGGGCCCCCCCGGCCCTCACTCACCCAGCGCCGCCGGCTCCGCGTCCCCCGCGCCGCTTCCGGAGCGCGGCCGGCCCGGGGCAGCGCCCGCCCCTCGGGGGACGGGCCGGGACAGGGCCCGGCTCCTCCTCCAGAGCACTGCCCACCCACAGCTTCCCTGGATACGGACAGATCCCATGGGATACACACAGCTTCCCTGGGATACACACAGCTTCCCTGGATACGGACAGATTCCATGGGATCCACTCACCTTCCCTGGGATCCACACAGCTTCCCTGGGATCCACAGCTTCCCTGGGATCCACACAGCTTCCCTGGGATCCACACAGCTTCCCTGGGATCCACAGCTTCCCTGGGATCCACACAGCTTCCCTGGGATCCACTCACCTTCCCTGGGATACAGACAGCTTCCCTGGGATCCACACAGCCTCCCTGGGATCCACACAGCCTCCCTGGGATCCACACAGCCTCCCTGGGATCCACACATTTTCCCTGGGATCCACACAGCTTCCCTGAGATCCACACAGCTTCCCTGGGATCCACACAGCTTCCCTGGGATCCACTCACCTTCCCTGGGATCCACACAGCTTCCCTGGGATCCACTCAGCTTCCCTGGGATCCACACAGCTTCCCTGGGATACACACAGCTTCCCTGGGATCCACACACCTTCCCTGCACCCACTCAGCTTCCCTGGGATTCACACTGTCCCCTGGAGTCCCCATCCCTGGAGGTGTGTAAGAGGTGGCGCTCAGTGATGTGATTTAGGGGTTACAGTGGTGGTGCCACATTGATTTGATGATCTTAAAGGTCTCTTCCAAGTGTGATGATTCTATGAGGGTGTGAAATAATAACCTAAAATGCTTGATCTGAGGTGCACAGGGCTCATACCTCCAAGGACGGACGCACCCAGGACTGCACTGTTGACACTTGGTGAGTTTGGAAGTAACTCCCAGCCCTCTAGAACAAGTGAGGTTGTGGCTCCTGACCCTTCTAGATCAAGGCTGCTCTCTGGACTGCTGTTCCCATGACCTCCTTCAGCAGACTCTGCTTCCGCAAAGGCCCCAAAGTCACTGAGCTCCGAGCTTGCGATGGGATAAATTCCAGCCAGGACAGCTTTCCTGAGGATTGAGGAAAATACAAGTGACAACGTCAAATTTGTTTTCAGTTATTAAGCACAGCATCATCAGAACTAATAATCAAACATTTAGTAATTTTACCTGGATCTACAGATTTGAATCTGGGCCACTTTTTTGTCACAATTAAATATTAACTTACTTGTGGGTTTTTCAAACAAGATCTCAAAATTTCTGACTTTTTCTTCCCAGGTGGCAATAGAAGGTTTCAGTGGAACTCTGTAAATGACAAAATCTCTCATGATGAAGCCTATAAGAAACACCATAAAAGCCTTGAATGCACTCCTAGGTTCTAACACTGATAAACACAGTACACAAAGGATACAAACCACTAATTAAAAGAACTCCCAGGGGTATATGCATGTGCAACGTGGTTTGTGAGGCAAAACCTTTCATCCTGGATTGCAGAAAAGCTGAAGTCGAAGTGTCAGCTTTACCACTGCTCTGGCACATGACATTGAGCAAGTTCATCTCAACGCTTGCTTTCTCCATCATCATCAGTGGGATGATCACATTGACCTTCACAAGGTCTGCTGAGATCTGCTGATGA